TCTTAGTTTTATCTCACTGTCATAATATTAGCTATTGAGCCACAGCCTAAAAGTAGCAAATGGACAATGATGGACTTATGAGTGTGGCAAGCAATGGTTTTGTACCTTTCACAAAGTTTCTTCTGACTTCAGTCCTTGTTGTGATTGAAGCTTACCATGTCTTGATAGCTAGAGTACGTAAAACCTATTCAAATCACTATGGCATATATTCTTCTGTGTAACCAGCTCAGAATGCTTGATGCCTAATTATGTGCTAAAATAAGAGTGAGGTGGAATTGCAGAAATTATATAGAAGAAAATTATCCCATCTGCTTCATAATAGGCCAAACTGAAGAATTCAAAGTGGTCCCTAAATCATGGCCAAACACCACTAAGAATTTTCTTCATAAACAATTCTTTTCCTAGGGAGTAGCAAGTCTCAATTATTTATACTATTCCCTTTAAGTCACATTTTTTTTGTTTTTCAAAAGGTAAAAAAGAAGAAGTTTTAATCCAAATATCATGTCTGCTCTAAAAACTCCAAAATTTATGAGTCTGAAGATTTTTGCAATAAACAGATGCTTCAAGCAACTTATGATATTCAGCAAAAGAATTTCCAAAAGCAAAAGATTTTGAATGGAAAACTGAGACAACAGAATTGCTTCTGTTTCCAGTGGGATGTCCAGTTTCTGCCTCTAATTAGCACTATTTAGTGAAGTAGTAGTTTCATTATCTTAAAACCAAAGATGTACTTTTCCTGGACCATACTGCATATGGTAACTGAACACTGTCAATATACTCTGGGAAAGCAGAGTACTCAAAATATTTGTTCATATTACTTATTTCATCAAATAAAACATAATCTTACTTCATGTTATTCAAAAATGCTTTAACATAATTTTTCAAGAAGGTTAAGTTTAGATTCATTGCTTAGCAATAGGACTAATGCAAGGTTGTGTGTAGTGCACACACACAAACTACAGTTTTTGCAAAAATAACAAAGTGGGGAAATCAGACTAACTTCTTGCCTAGTTTGGGGAGGATTTATGTGTTTGTGTCTTTTGTTACAAAGACTGAGGTAAACATGCAGGGAAAATATGTGACAGTAATTAGAGAAAACATAAGGGAAATGAAAACTTAAATTTTTCTCATTTTCTTCAAAATTGATTGTATTTCCATTTTAAGGAAAGAAAACTGAAAAGTGCAGCTTCCAAAAGCAATAGTTATAATCTATTTGGTTTTTAATTGTCTCACATTTTTTCCCCAAGAGCATAACATTTTGATTTTTTTCAAATCCATCAAATTATTTTTTGTAAAGCAAAATCATAGATCAATTGTGTTTAAATATTGCTTTCAAGAAAACTATAATGTTACTTCAGCTGCAATGCAGTGTAAATGTAAGACTTTTCTTCTGTCTATTTTTTTATTGAATGAGTTGAATTTCATCTCTGATAGTGTTTCAAAAGTTGCAAATATTATGGATTACAAAGGGTTTTGTCTTCCAAGGCACAGTTTCAACCTATAGGCTCCAGTCACACTAGATAGCAAAATCAGAGAAGGTTTTGATGCGTTATAGCCATAATCTCTGGTGACAAACATACTCCATGTGCTGAATTTTCTCCTTAGGGCAGACACAATACAGATAAACACCTAACCTACTCTCATAAAATGATTTTTGTGATTCTTTATGACAACTTGTTTCTAAAAACACAAGCATTTAAAAATAGTTGCAATTTGTCCAAGTAGCTCCTAGAAGTGGGAGTCATCAGATCCTTTCAATCTGGCAATTTTACGGAGAAGTATTGTTTACCATCGAATTCTTGCCACTCTACTGACTGTTTGCCAGTTTCTGATTAAATGTTTTTCTCACATTCCCTTCTACAAAGTGATCCTTTAAAATAAAGAGGTATTATGAGATAAACTTCTAAATAACTGCAACCAGGATTTTCCATTAACAAAATACTCCTATTATTAATAGCTCATTCCCTTTTAATACGCATAGGGATAACCATGTCTTCTGAAGGACAATTATCATGACAGGTTTTTTTATTTTGATTGTGAGGTTACTTTTCTTATTAGTCATATGTAGCTGTATTGCAATGTTGCCACAATGTTGCAGTTACAAAATCTAACAAATAATTCTAAAAAGACATTATCAAATGCTTCAAAAACAAAACCAAACAATATTCAGGATTTTTTTGAAGAGCTTATTCCTAAAACAAAAAAGCAAATTTCAGGTTTTTGTTTCATGCGTTTCACAGGCATCAAGTTCAGAAACAGAGTGAAAGCCATGCAGTGAACAGTAACCTTTGCTGTTCAAATTTTGAATTTTAAATATAAAGTTATGGGACAAACAATAAATAGAATGAGGTTTTATTGTAAAAAAGTATATACACTTCATAAAATAATATCATCTATTCATAAACAAGGATCAAGAATATTAAGACCCTGATTGTCAGATAAGTTGTTCTTATGAGCTATTCACCCTATTCTCTTTTCTACAGTATCACAAAATGAGCTGCTTTTCTTAAGATGAAATCAGTATGAAATCTGCCACATAATCCAGTAGAAGTATTGTTTCAATTCTTCTTAATATAAATTCAGGAAGTATGTAAATATGTTTTAAATTTTAATTCTTCAACAATGTGCATTCATTATCAGAATTTAGCTCAAATCAATTTTTTTGTTACTGAATTTAAAGATATGACAAAACCTCCTGGGTATCTTTCTCACTCCATTTCTGAGCATAGCTTCCATTAAGATTAATGGCTGTTTTGTATCTAATGGGAATATATCTTAAGAAAGAAGCTGATGTAAAAGCAAAAATTTTAGTGAAAATGATGAACAATAGAGGTCATGATTACAATAATTGTTGAATGAGAAATTTAACAAGATTCTGTGAAGGAAATGTTCCTTCCTTTAAACAAAAAGGCCACATGTTGACACTAATTATATTGAGTAGACCTGCTGAAGTTTATATTCCAAAGATTTCATTGGGGACCATTTTTCAGACTAAGACTGAGATTCCTTCACTTACTCAGTATAGGCTTCGCTGTATTATTCTCAGCTGCTCAGTGAGGCTGGGAGTCATCAATTTTCAATAGCTGAGTGGGCATGGAAATTTGCAAGGGCAAAGACATAAACCAGCTTAACATGAAAGACCATTACAGAAGCTGGCCAGAAGTTTTCATGACTAGTATGGGTTTTACAATGCAGATGATCTAAATGATATAAACTACAGATATGATACAATGATATAAATCAGAAATCAGTTTTAACATTTAAATCTTCTTAGATTATAAGAAAGCTACTTTGATCTATACTATCTGTGCCTATATATATTTCAGATGAGTATTCTCCTGGGTTTTGTCATTGACATACAAACACTTTAAGGATTTCTTTGACTGATTTGTCTTCAAAGTAAAGGCCTGATATGGGGGCACTAGAGTCAGATGCAGTATTGAGCATATACTCTGCTTCAGGCTCTATGCATCTTAACTTTTTTTTAAGGGTACAGTGTGTAGAAATAAAAAGTATATTCTAAATATTTTCATTTCTTTAAGTTAGAAGAACTTTTCCTGTTTTCAGCCTTACTTTTTAATCTTGAAGGCATTTCTTCAGTGTGTATACATTTATGCTAATCATATACTACAGCCATGGGTTCCTCTATCAATATGAAATGTTTTGTACTTGCTGTTTTTGTGCATCTTGTATTGTTATGTGCAATATACAAAATAATGTGTCTAACTATGCCATTTATGCTTTTGAAAGAAAAAGCAAATTACTTACTGAAGAGAATGGCATTTGCATGCATGTGTGTCAGCTTTCAAGCCATTTCCCTCTACAAAATATTGCTTTCTACACTTAGAAAATGCATCCATCCATCAGTTACAAACCATTTCAAAGCACTTTATGAATCTACAGAGCAAAATGTACTTATCTTACATTGGCAGTGTCCCAGCTGTTACAAAATTGCTATTGTCCTAATACTTACAAGGCAATTTTAGCATCAGTTAATAATTTTACAGGATAGATAACTTCTAAAGCATTATAAAATGACAGACATTAAACAATAGCAACTTAGCATTTTTTGAAACAGTTCATGACAGCTTAAAAACTAAAGTGATTTTAATGTATAGTCTATGCAGTTTTAGTTTCTCATTGACAATTCCTTTAGAAGATAAAAATGTGAAAAATCCTTTTAAATAGTGGGTGAAAGAATAAAACAAATTTATCTTTAAAACATATTCAGTAAAAATCTCAATTAGGAATAATGTCTCAAATCTTCCTGTACAGATAGTAGGTGACAAGAATTAGAATTTATTTAGGCAGAAAAAAAAATTGATGGTATCATTTAATGGTAGGGTACCACAGAATAAAAAAGGCATATCTATTCATTAAGTCTAATACAAAAAGGAAAATACAGTGAAGAGCATTTTATATAAATCAGTATGCATTATTTCTTCTCAAAAACTGTTTTCTATCAATCTTAGTTTAAAAGCTTCAGTTAAAGGCAAGTTCTAGTTAAATTGTTACCTTTTATCTTTTCTAAGTAGCCATTGCAGCCAAATGTTCACTTTTTGGTTAGACATTTATAATTTACCTAATGTGCAGTACAATCTGTGATAGCAAAAGATTTGATGATGTGTAAAGTATCAACTGTTCCAAACAAATTAAATTAATTGATATTTGAGGTATTATTTTGATAATTACTCAAAAAAACCTTTTCAGTGCAACAAATGTACATCACAGTGGCCTTTTTCACCAATGTACTTATTAAATTAAACCAGTTGTACCAATTGCTGTTGTATAGCACAGGTAACTGACCACCTCTTCAAAAGAGCAAAAAGAATCCCTTAATACCTAATTACTACATTCTTCTGTACTACTGGACACATTAAAGCAACATTAAAGCAACATTAATAATGCTATATATATCATAACCCAATAGTATTAGAAGGTTCTTGTACTGGAGAAAGGAATTTCGATTGCAGTACAACTATTTTCAAAATTTTGCCAGTTTAACTTTCAAAACACATAGTATCTTGAAGAATAGTTCAAATGGTTATCCAAAGTGAATATTTCAATTAATATTGCAGTTCCTCTTTTCCAAATACCATGAATGTTAGATATTTAATAAGTCTGTACAGTGAAGAACAGAACTTAGGGCTCACCAGAGTAAATAGTTGAAGTGATGACCCCAATTAAGAAGCAAACAGGTAATTCCTGACAAGTTATTACTTATTACTTATTTATCCCCAGATGTTTTACCTAATGGAACATTTCTTAAAATTTCTTGCATAGGGGTAAACCTACAGACCTGCGTCTAAATGTGACGGGAGAAAGTAAAATTCTCTTTCAGAGAATTCAAGTACACGCAGCTGCTTTATCCACACGAGACAAGGTTTCTTCTTCTTTCAAAGTCATGCTTACTATGTGAGCAAGTGTACCCTTGCAGATTTATTCTCACAAATAGGTCTGCAGGGCCAAATATGCAACTGAGTACAGGCAGAGGCACTGAATTTTACTGAAGTGGGCTGAAGACAAGGATCTCCAGAAGTTGTGCCTGTATGAGAGACAGTTCTTCAATAAGCATCTTTGTGAAAGATTACATGTCATCACCCAAATTCTTTAATAGTTACTCACTTTAAAAGAATCTCTTCTTTTGAAGCAGCCGGCTCATGTCATCAATTCCAGCAGCACAAGATTGCACTTATGTCTACATCTCATCTTTTTGATTGTCAGTAGACTAAGACCTCAGAAACTTCAGCTCTGGGGAAAAAAAAAAAAGTATGTAACTGCATCTACTACCTTGTTTTTTTGTTTCATGCAGAGGTTCTTGAGACCCAGCTGCTAAACCCGACATTTTTAGTTGGGTGTGTTTTCACAGAGAGAGAGATCACCTCATTATGAAAGAAAATAACGTACAGAGATAGCTGCCATAACAATTTACCCTTTTCCAAATTACTACAGACTGACTCATCATCCAGTGATATCACACAGTGGTAAATAAAAACTGGTGACAATAACCAAAATTTAACTGATGGAATTTTTTACAGAGAGTGACTTTCTGCCCAGCCGTTTTCTACCAATGTATAGCTATTAGTATTTTGGATTACTGCCAAAGTCTGGATTTTCTAGACTCATAACTAGTTACCTAAGAACAGGGGATATAAGAACACCAGCAACTACCTGTGAACCACCTTCAGACCCCACCATTCTGACATTCCTCAGTCCCTACTTTAGAGTCACAAGAAAAAAAACCTGAAAGATGCCACAAGACTTCAACTGGTTTATCCTCTCTAGATTGCTTTAAAAGAAAAGGAAATCCTTTTGAGGATAAGGTGCTTTCTAAAAGCCCCCTTCTATTCTCTATCACATCTTCACCTGGATGCAGCAGCCTCACTGTTGCTTCAGAGAAGATCTAATTTCTTCAAACACTATTTCATTTTAGTCTGATTGTACTGACTTTATAAACCCAATTTTAAAATTTTACTAACTGAATACATTTTCAAAACCGGTCAGGTAAGCTATTTTTTTCCCTAGAAAAGTAACAACTAAAAAGTTGTAAGACTTATGTTCTTTTTCCCCTCCCAGTTTCAACTACTTCTATAACAAATTCTACATCAATAATTAGCATCTGACTCATGTCTTCAGGTAATATTCAGGATGCATCACTCACCAGTAGCCTGGCAATTTCTGCATTTCCATCATAGAATATTTATTCTGTCCTGTATATATGCTATATTGCAACGTTTCTTCTTGGCAGAAAACATCAATAGTTAATTGGTCCATACTTAGTATCTCACACAGAAACAGTGACATTTTGAAAAACATAAATTGTAGAGAAAAGGTGTTGATAAAATATATTCTAGAAATAGCAAACAAATTGATCTGTGCTCCAGCCAACCATTTCAAGCTCATGAAAATGACTGTTTCAAAGAAACTGAACCTTTGTAGGAATGTCTTTTAATATTCTCTCATAATAAGAAAGAATGATTCTCTCATACGACGTACAGGACATATTCTATTGTTACTGATTTATTGTATTGCCAGAATTTCAAGCAAAATAAGTACTTATACCATCTCTTCTGTGCAAAAATTAACAACTCTTAATGCTGACATGAAAAACAGCTGTTCATGAAGTCACAAGGCAGGCAGGTAAAGGCAAAACATGGAACTCAGAATTATGTGGCCATCACAGGGGAAATGACATAACTTGGATGAAGCAATATTTTCAGTTCAAAATTCTAAATGAACAGTTGAAATGCATTTGTTTGCCCTTTATCTCTGTTGTTACTTAGACTGCATAGTTAAATGGCTGCAAAGATCAGAAGTCTGATCTTCAAGTAAAAATCTATTTATAAACTATGAAAAAATAGGAGAATTAAAATGCACTCATATATCAATGCATATATGCATAGAACTGAAATGACAAAATATTCTAATATTTAATTAGAACGCTTTGAATGTTCACATTATCTGGTGTGTTTTTTTCTTTGAGGTTTTATAAATTTATGTCTAAACTGACATTTTTGGTTATGAAATATTTTATAGACAGTTATATATTCTAATAATTGTTTAGAATAAGGCACATAACTTGAGATTCAACATAGCTGAGTAGAAGAAAAAAAAACTTTTAAGCTTAATTGATAATTTGAAAATTTTAGCTTCTTTAAAATGCTTTCCTTTAGTGTTAACAATTCAGGGCATTATAAGGATAAGTTATATGTCTAAAATTGAGTTTTCTTCCTGACTGAAATTTTCTTACAAAAGATACTAGTTCTTTCTCTATAAATAATAATGTTCCTGTTGCTTTTTACTAGGAATTCTTCTTGCTGATAAACTAGTTGTATACCATAGAAATTGAATAGCTCCTGAAGCAGAGTTGGATTCTGTGAAAATAATCTTAACCAGTCCCACTATATTAATCACAGAAGTGAAGGCAATTTACATATTTAATAGCTTTATTCTTATAATTGGAAATTATGTTCTGATGCTCTGCTTCTTTGTTTAGGTTTTAGTCAGGGTTTCTTAAGATTATGCTAAAGAAAACTTGTAGAAGATAGAATATTCTCTCATTCTAAATATGCTTTATTGTTCTTTATCTTACTTTATTCTTACCACACTCTTTTACGTTTCTAGAAGAATTTTGGTGTGATCTCAGTTTAACAACAGGAAATACCACAATGTTACACATTATTAAAAAAAAAAAAAAAAAGGAAATTTAAAAAGAGCCATGTTTCTGCTCTGCTGCAAAACACTGGGAAAGTTCCTTTGTATGTTGCTCATGACTTGCTGATGTGTTCCTCATTTTTCCAGTAGTATAAATCCTCTTTGATAATGTTTTCAGGAGTACCTTCCAGGACTTCCTGTTTCTTTGATGTCCTTTCAACTTTCCTTTCAAGGCCACTGTTATTTTGTACTTTCAGTGGGTCAATTCTATAGGTAAAAATAGTTAGAAATTTCCATATCACATTCTCCTAAGACTAAACAGGTAGAAATTCACAAAAAGACGAAGTCTTACTTATCACAGTTCAAAATCTACCAGACCTCTGCTTACCCTAAGAGGTCCAAAAACAATGCTTTTTTGTTTAATTTTTGTTTTAAACTGTGACTCCAGGGGGAAAAAAAAAAAAGTTATTTGACTTTTGTTGTCTCCTGATGAGCTGGTTGCCAAAGACAAGGGCTAACTATATGCAATCTGAAAATGTACATTAATACAAGAAAGAAAAAATAATCGCAGAATCATTGGATAGTTTGGATTTGAAGGGATGTCAAAAATGATGTTGTTCCAGCGCACTGCCATAAGGAGGGACACTTTCCACTAGACCAGGTTGCTCAAAACCCATCCAACCTGGCCTTGGACACCTCAAGGTAGGAGGCATCCATATGTTTCATCCACATGATTCATCATAGCATAAACATGATCTACAGTGATTTGAGGTTTTGGGTGAGTGCATTTTTTTCAGTTTTCCACACATCTCTTTTTAATTGCACTCCTGGATTTAAACTCAAGGAAAAAGATTTCCTGTAATTGGTAAACTTGTTCTTCCTATTTGAAGGTACAACGAACTTCAAACATAGTATGAACGGTGCATGCACCAAGTCAGACGGTCAAAAAGACTTGTACTATAGCTTGATGGTGACTGAGACCTGGAAGCCCCCATACATGAAACAGTTATCAAAAGCCCCATCCAGGTGAAAAAGAAGATGAGTAGTTTTGGCAGCATAGAAATAGGTCTTCCAAACCTGAGAGACAGAAATTGGTACTTTCAAGGAAGCATAAACTCTCTACCATTAGAGATTATCCTGAACACCATTGCCACAGATAGCAGCTACTGTTTTCTACAGCCAAAGCTAATTATTTGAACACTAGAATATTACCACCATGGGATTTTTCACTTTCAGTCAACAACAACAAAAAAAAACCTTTTTAAAACATTTTAAACCTCATTTTCCAAAAGTGGTATTATTTCCTTTACTCATTAACAGAAAAAAAAAATGCAACAAGAGATGGAAAATATAAACAAAATTTTGTTTATCACCAAAATAATTTTCAAGCTAAAATATTTAGATTAAAAAAAAAACCTTAATGATGAACATAGTCATTCTTTGGCAGAGATTACAAAGATTAATTTGGGGTTTATAGTGAAATAAAGACTGTGGCCTTATCTATATTGCCAGCTAGATTTCCTGAGTAGAAATCTACATGACTGATTTAAGAGAAGGTATTGGATTTTGGTGGATATCTCTGAAGTTATACAGAAAGTTTTTTCTTGAAAATTTCTAAAGTTGGATAAGGATTAAACATTTTGCGGACATCTTGTCATCAAAGGTGCATTTGTGACTCCTCATTAATACAAAGTGGAGAAACTAGTGGTTTTTAAAATCACAGAATAATAGACACATTAATGTTGGAAAAGACTTCCAAGATCATCTGGTCCAACCTTTGACCAAACACCACCAAACCAACCAAACCATAGCACTAAGTGCCACACCTAGCCATTTCTTGAACACTTCCAAGGATGGTGACTCCACGATTTCCCTGGGCAGCCCGTTCCAATACTTAATCACCACTTCAGTGAAGAATTCTTCCCAATGTCCAACCTGAACCTCCCCTGGAGCAGTTTGAGGCCATTTTCTCTGTCCTGTCGCTAGTTGCCTGGGAAAAGAGGCTTCACTACTTACTTCACTACAACCTCTCAGGTAGTTGTAGAGAGCAATATGGTCACCCCTGAGCCTCCTTTTCTCCATGCTAAACAACCCCAGCTCCCTCAGCTCCTCCTCATATGACTTACTCTCTAGACTCTTCACCAGCTTCATTACCCTTCTCTGAACAAACTCCAGCACCTCAATGTCTTTCTTGTAGCGAGGAGCCCAAAACCGGACACAAAACTGGAGGTGTGGCCTCACTAGTGCAGAGAGGGACAATTACTTGCATGTTTCTGAATTTCCCTCCTCAGGACAAAAGCAAGCAAACAAATGAAACAAACAACAAGAAAAAAACAAAACAAACAAAAACCACAAAACAACAACAAAACCCATAACAAAACAAAAAACCCACCCTGTTTAGCTTTCATTAGAACCGAAAGAGATTCAAAACAATAAAGCAGTGTTCTACAAGTGGCCAAGCAGTTTCTGCAAAGTAACGAATTCCACAGATTTCAGCTCATAAAAAGTGTTGGGAAACAGGTAGAATTAGGCCCATGTTTTATGGTGAATGTCCTTTACTTTGAAAATAAATTAAAAAATAACAAACAAGCAAGTGA